GTTTCTTTCTGCTTGGTGAAACTCTTGTGTTATTGAATTTTCCCCCTATATATTTATATTGCTCTTGTATAGTTGCAAAGTCTCCCTTGCAGGCGCGGGAGGCGGCTGTGCTCCTCCTCCAATTGGGATGATCTGTCTATCATGCCAGCGGGCCGCTGGGCCCCTTCTCCGACTCGCGTGGTCTGCCTACCTTGTGGGCAGTGGCTGGGCCCCTCCTCCAATAGGGGTGATCTGTCTACCACGCTGGCGGGCCGYTGGGCCTGTTTTCCAGTTTGCAGGTTTGCCTACCTTGCAGGCGCAGGCGGCGGCTGTGCCCCTCCTCCAATTGGGGTGATCTTTCAACTAGAAATTTAACATCTTAATACCAGAAAATCAAATGAGATGCCAGTGAAGAAAGTTGTAATCACCTGTTCTCAATCAGTATTGTAACATTTCTTCATTGTATTGCTCAAGGGTTTATCACAGTTGGGCAAAGTGAATTTGTACAAAGGATCCATGAGATTTCTCTGGTATTTTATGTACTATTTTATTTATTTATTTATTTTTTAAAGAGAGAGAGAGGGAGAATTTTAATATTTATTTTTTAGTTTTTGGCAGACACAACATCTTTTTTGTTTGTATGTGATGCTGAGGATTGAACCCGGGCTGCACGCATGCCAGGCAAGCGCGCTACCGCTTGAGCCACATCCCCAGCCCCACTATTTTATTTTTTTTAAATTCCCAGTTGGGATTCACTACACTGATTTCATGACTACTAATGGTTTGCAAACTGTAGTTTGTAAAACAATGGTCCAGAATGATCATAGTGGGTGAGCAGGAGAGTGGCACTGGTCTTATAGGGCTTTGTAGGCAATAACATGATAGAAAATCAGGAGGACTGAAAGCTTGATATGCTTTGAAGTTTTAAAAGGAATGGATTGAAAAGCTAGAACAGGGGCAATGCAAGATATGGCAAACTGTGGCCCACAGGACAGAGCCACCTGTTTTGTAAGGCCTGTGAACTAGATTGGCTTTTACATTTCATATAGTTATTTTTTTTAAATTTAAAGAATTTAAATTTAAATTCTGTGAAAATTCTGTGAAATCCAAATTTCAGCGTTTATAAACAAAGTTGAACATATCCACATTAATATGTTTACATATGATCTATGGCTGCTTTTGTGCTAAAGGTGCCTGCTTGAGTCATTGTGATTAGGATGTCCTGGCCCCAGAGCCTAGTATATATACTATCTGGCCCTTTTTCAGAACAAGTTTGTGGATCCCCATAATGGAATGTAAAGTATTATTAAAATAATATAAAACTTCTCTAGGACGAGATTCCAGTGTGCATTTAACTCAAGTTCAGTTGCTCAAAAGTGATTAGGTGTTTTAAAGAGAGACTCRAGGAATAGACAAGTGCATGTATGGGGGCTCAGTAGACTTCTCACCACAGCTGGGAACAGGGGTCCTGTTCAGGTAACTGTTGGCTGGAACAAATACTAAATTCTTTTGGCACCCATGAGTTTCCTTAGGCAGGCACTAAGGATCACAGTGACTTTGTTACTGTTTCCTTCAAGGCTTTATAGGCCAAGGTTGAGACTTCGTGGAGAAGAGATCCCAGAGAAGCTTGACTTTGGTCAAGGAGAGAATCTTTTTCAGCAGATGTATCAGTTAAGAGGCCATTTCCTTGTCCAGAAGAAAGATAATGGATGAGTGACATGTACAAGAAAGATAATGGATGGGGATATGTAGATGAGTATGTGTGATACTTTGGAGAGGGGACCAAGATGACTTGCTGTTGAATTGGCATATTCCCTATGGAATGGATTGAAGAAAGCCTTTTCCTTCACTGAATTCTTTGACAACCATCAAGTCAAAACACTAAACAAACTATGTTGCATTTCCTTCTATAAGTTTTTAAAAAACAAAAGATGAATGTCACTCTTGAAAGCAATTTCTGTTTAAAATAGAAATGCAAAATATATTTTCTTATAAACACAGTCATGTTGAATTGTATCCCTTGCTGTGTTAACTAGCTTCTTGCTGTGTATTTTAAGTTTCCCAACTTCTTTTATGTATACACTCATCCTAAAGTTAAAACTATTCTTCTCCTTTAACATGCAGTCCATCTTAAATGACTTGGAAACATAAACTTTGGAAATGAAGCAATATTTAAAAAGATAATGGCTGAAAACATTGAAGAATTAATGAAGGACAGAAATTCTTCTCTTTAGAAAGCTTAGTGAGTCCCAAGTAGAAGTAATAAACCTCACCTAGACACAGAGTGATAACAAGGAAATACAGCTGAACTTTTATTTCTTAGTTACATTTTCCTGTTATTAAGACATTGACATAAATTCATCTGAGATAAGGTTTTAAAATGTTATTTTCCAGTAATGGTGAAATATATTTACTGGTTTGTTTGTTTGATCCCTATTGATTCAACTTGTGACTAAGAGCATAACTTTGTGTCTACTGTTTCTGTAATGGAGCTTTAGTGCCTAAATATTAATTTGTAGTAACATGGGGAAAATACTCTTTTGTGATTAGTTTTATTCTGGAGTGAATTAAAGAAATATATTTTCAAGAAAACTACTCTTTAACTTGTTTTTAATATGTGGGAACTGTAAGATCATAGATTAAAAGTGACAGCAAATTTTATTTGAAATTAAAACAAAATCTGTTACCTTTCTTATTCACCCAGTCCCTAAGTCTTTTCTCTTTCTGTATCATAGAATCACATTTCTTTTTTCTTCTGATTTCTACTCTAATTGTAATGCTTCTCTGTTTCTTATTCATAGGTATTTAAAGAAACAGACTATATTTACAAGTCACCTAAATAGTTTATTCATAAATAAAGTAAAATGAGGCACTGTAATTGTGGCTCAGTGGCAGAGTGCTTACCTAGCACAGATGAGGTACTGGGTTCAATTCTCAGCACCACATGTAAATAAATAAAATAAAGGTCCATTGACAACTAAAAGACTATTTTTTAAAAAGTAAAATGAAACAATAAGCAACCCTCTTGCTTTCTTTCTCTAATTAGCATTCCTCTTTTGATTTCTTGCCCCAATCCTGCTGTATATTTTAAGTTTCCTAATTCCTTTTATGTATACATAAAATAGGCCCTCGGTGAAAAGAATTATTCTCATTTTTCCACATGGGTTAACTGTTTTGTTGTAGGCTACCATCAGTTAGAAGGCAGTCTACCTGCTTCTGACAGATCAAGCAGTAGTTCTAGTCCTGCTTTAAGTTTTGTGATCTCAATGTTGCCTGGTCATTTAAAAGTTTCATCATTGAAGGGTGTGTGTGTGTGTGTGTGTGTGAGTGTGTGTGTGTGAGTGAGATGGGAGGAGAGGATTTTCAGGCAGTTTTACCTCTTTCTATACATACACCATACTTATATATTCATACTGCTTTTTCAAAAGTATGCTTTCCCTATAAAAACTCTTTGTTATATTTCTAATTATTACTGAATCTCATTTTTAACCATTGTGATGTATGAGTAAATGTGTATATAAATTTGAGCTATAAAACTTATTCTTTTAAACTTATTTTTCTAGCTGCCAATCTCTATTTTGGGGCGTTCTTTGCTAAATTGTTTTACATATCTTCTACAAGCTTCTTTCCTTATAACCATCCAGGTCAGAATTTTAAACTAATAATTTTTATTTCATACTGCACAATAAAAAATTTTTTTACTTACATTTTACATTTGCTATTGGTGTGATTGTTATTTTATCAAGATGTAAATTTTTACCTAGGAAATGTTCACATTTTCTGTGCACACTTTCTTATACTAAAATGAGTTTAGATATTTTAAATCTTTTAATTCTACAAGCTAAATTATTCTTTACAGTCATTCTTATATTTCTTGGATATTAAATTATGTTTGTATATTGTTATTTAGGTGACTATTATATGGTTAAAAAGATTTTGGAGGAAAACAGTTCAGGTGACTTGAACATAAATTGCGTAGATGTGCTTGGGAGAAATGCTGTTACCATAACTATTGAAAACGAAAACTTGGATATACTGCAGCTTCTTTTGGACTACGGTTGTCAGGTACAAGGCTAGATAATTTTATCCAGTAGCTTCTAAGAAATGTTAGCTATACCATGTTTTTACCTTTCCTTCTAGTTTACTTTCTTCTTTTTATTTTCTACCTTTCTTTTTCACTGTTTGTGTTTAAGCCACTAAGTAGTTTAAAGAAATAAAAAAATGACATTTTATGAAGAATAATTTTTTGAATTGGTTTGTCTTTTTCATCTTAACTCTCATTTTCCCCTACATCCCATAGAGCTATATTAACATGAATCATTAAAGATGATTTTGTTTTTATTACCTGTATCAATCCTATTTTATTATTTACCTATATATAGGACAAATGTTCTGAAGTGTTAGGAGGATAAGTTTTTATGTGCCCCATGTTATTTACAATCATGTGAATGAAATAGACTGGTTTACTCTTTGTTTGAAATGTAATGTTTACTTATGTATGAAAATGAAGATTTTTTTTTTAACTGAAAAAAGACACCTTTCTGTTTGTCTCATATCAGTTCAGGTACAAAAGTAGGCATGTATGTAAATTTTGAAGAATTCAGTTTAGAGATGCTGAAAGGAAATTTAATAATAATATATTTTCCTTTCCTTTTTTGGTTTGCTTCGGATGGGACTTAGCACATGGATTTTGGCTCTTTTTTTCCCTTAACGAGCATACATAGATATACTTTTTAAGTGGCATCAGAAAGCACTCACAGCATGTTTTCTAAAGGCACATAGATATTCTGTATAATCTCTATTTTATCTATTCTAACATGGTACTATGTCTACATATATATTTGTAGAGTACAGAAATTGCTTACCCAGGAACTTCAGCTATCCAGAATACAACTAGGAATAAGAAAGAATAAATAAATACCTCTGACTAGCCAGAGTAGGTGTGATGAAGTTTCTAAATTAAGTTTAATTATATGAATACTTCTGGAGCCCCTGTTCAAAATCTATTTTTTTTTCTCATTGTAGATTCCATGTCAACAGACTTAATTCTTAGTTTTCCAATCCAGAGAGAATTCAAGGGGCAATAGAAAGGGGGCACTAGAACTACAGTGGAACAAAATGAGACATGGTTCTTCTGGGATATTTTATAAAGAGGTCAATAGCATTACATTTCTGATCATCTCTGAGAGGAACTATGTATTAGAATGATAAAGTTTATAACAATGGCATAGACTCAGCAAGAAAAAGTTAAATTATATTCAGTACCTATTGTTTTAGAAGAAAGAAGAATATATTTATGTAGTACTTATAAAAGCAGAAGATTTCCATCAAAATGGTTTCAATTTTAGTTGAACACTTAAAGGCATAAGCTTCAGTTATCTAGAAAATAAAGATATAAAGAAATTCAGTCCCTGATAATTCTGGATAAAGAGGTATTATGGTTTAATAATTTTGTGTTTTTACATATATGGATATATGTATATAATGATTCTGTACTTCATACATGTTTCTTTCACATTCTTGATCATATTCAAACATCACAGTTAACTTATATAAATGGAATCTTTTATAGATCAGAAAACTGAGGCTCATAGACTTTAATGAAATGCCCAAAGTTCTAAAATTACTAAACGCAAAACTAAGATTTGAATTTACTCTTCTGACTACAAATCCCATGCTCTTTCCAGTTCACTATCTCCTCTTGAGGTTACCTCATTCTCATTCTATCAGTCAACAAAAGTTCAAGGCCTTTGCTTGTGTGTGATTGTGAAAATGAATAAGCAAACTATGGATTCTGCACTAAAGTATCTTCAAATGAATTAGACAAAGTGCATATGAATTATAAATCAACTAAATAATACAAAGATGTATTTGATAAGTGTTGAGTGGTAATAATGCTTTATTTTTATATGTTGTTTTACAGTTACAAAATGCTTTCTTGTGCTTATCTTGTGTTATATCAATGGTTTTCAACCAAATGATTTTGCCAAGGAACACTTGGCAATGTCTGGAGATATTTTTAGTTTCACAATTGGGGGGCAGATTACTAGTGGTATTTAGTGGGCAAAGTTTAGGATGTTGCTGAACATACTCCACCACAGAGGACAGCTACCACAAGAAAAAAAATCCTGACCCCAAATATCAATAGTGCCATTCTTGAGAAAATCTATTTTATACTTAAACCCTTGAGGCTCAATATAAATATTTTAGAAATATAGGAAAGACAATGATCACTATGTATGGAAGCTATCATTAAGTAGTGTTTCATTGGAAGAGTATCAGTTGAGCTTAGCCTTGAAATATTAGTGTTGCTAACACTTATGTAGCACTATACCATGAGTAACCTTATGTATATTCACTTACTTAATCCTCTCAACAGCCCCAGGAGGTAGATACTACCATTATCCCTGACTTATAGAGGAGGAAACTGAGGCTCAGAAAGATTAACTTGCCCAAAGTTATTGTATATGATAGACCTGGTATTTGAGCTTAAGTTCTGGCTCCGAAGTCTGTGCTCTTACCTATTACCCTAATCTACTTTCAAATATTTCTAGGTGGATAAGGAACAAAAGATGTATAGAAGGACATAAATAAAGATATGTGCAATGTATATTCTTGAGACAGCTTTTTGGAACAAAATATTTGGGTTGCAAAGTAAAGGGAATTATCAGGAAAAGTAACTAAAAGAAAAACTGATGAAAAAGGCCTTTTATCCTAGACTGAGGAACCTGAGTTTTATGTAATAGATAGTGGGGTATTATTAAGTGATTTTAAAGAAGGGTATGCTATGTGTCCAGTAGTATTTTAGAAAGTTAAATCTAGTGATTGAATTTAGTATAGATTAGAAAAGTGGAGAAGGGTGTAGCCTGCRTGAGCAGTTATGTAGTAATTCAGATGTGAAGATGTTAAAACTAAACTAGAAAAGTGGCTCTAAGAAGAATAGTTATTACAAGAAGAAGTAAGACAAGACAGATATTAGAGATCTATGAAAGAAGAATTGAAAGATTTCTTGAGTGTTTAAATCTGGAGGGGAGAAAGGAGGAGTTGAAGATTACTTGAAAATCTTAAACCTGGATGACTGAAAGAAGGATGAAAGAAAACTAGCAAGTTGATAAATCAGGCTTGGTGCAAAGGAAAATGACTTCTGCTTTTATGGTTTTAGCCTTATCTATTTGAGGACTATCAAGCTGTTCCCAGCAGTCACAGGTGAAGATTTTTATCTTATCTTCTTGATAAGAGATAAGATCAAGTTAAGTTAGCAAAGAATAAGGAACAATTTAAAGTTGTGAGAGGTGAGAGCTGGAACCAGTATTTTTTTTGAGGGGTGGGCAGGTTGCACATTCCAGGGATTGAACCAGAGGCACTTGGCCACTGAGCCACATCATCAGCCTTATTTTGTATTTTATTTAGAGACAGGATCTCACTGAGTTGCTTAGTGCCTTGCTTTTGCTGAGGCTGGCTTTGAACTCGAAATCCTCCTACCTCAGCCTCCCAAGCCACTGGGATTACAGGCAAGCACTACCACGCCCAGCCTGGAACCAGTATTTTTACCAATGGAGTACCATGGTGTTATAGATGATTGGAGAACATTAAATAGGATACTAAGTTGGAAAATTAGGTTTGGAAAGGAAATAACTAGCTTCTTACTCCAAGTTTAGAGGAAAGAGTATGGGAATTGTTGAAAGACAAACTCTAAAGTGAGAAGGAAGATAGGGACCTCATAAATACATAATGACATTTGTATTGAAGCTATTTTAATAAGGAATTGTCAGATGTCTGAGAAATTGGGAAACAACTAGCAAGGATATTTTGTATTCTTATATATATTTTGAAAAGAATTTAAAATACTTTCCTTCATAACAGCCACTATTTATCAAATAACATTGTTTGTACAGAACAAATCAATGGTAACTCCTTATTTACATGACATTTTTATACAAATAAATATTTTATAGCTGAAGCTTATCCTTTTAAGCATTGAGATACATAATATAAATATCCTTTACTAAGTAGTATATCTGAATATAATTTAACTATAATACCATAAATTGGAATAATTGAGAATGTAATCATTTTACTTTGTTTCATAATCTCTGAAACTATTAACATGTTTGTCGCTATGTCATATGTCTTCAGACTGTTGTGTATTGAAAGTGATTTCGCTACACTGCTATTTTATTTATTCACTAGCCAACCCCCCTCCCCTTTGTTGATTTTAACCTAGCTATTCCCTTATGCAGTAAAGATCTGAAGGATACTTGGGAAAGCCAGATATTCATTATTTAGACAACTCTAGGGCTGCATGCTTATACCTATACCTGTTTCTTCTGGGCAGTAATGCCCACGAAGTTATTTGTGACAACTCAGTAAAAGTTTGTGTGTGTGTGTGTGTGTGTGTGTGTGTGTGTTAAGTTGTGGCTGGATCAATGGCTATGTTTCAAATGATTGAGATTGCCTGGCATTTGATTTTGAGAGCAACTATAATAGTTTTTTTATGGTTGAAATTTAAAACCACGAATGAAATATTTATTAGTAATGGGTACAGGGTTCTTTTTTGTTTGTTTGTTTGTTTAACTTAATATGCTAAAACTGAAGAAAAATGTTTACAAACCAGAAGAATAATGCTAAGACTTGAAGTCAAGGGCTATATAGCCCAATGAACCCTAAATTTTTATTTATTTATTTTTTTACATGGTGCTGAGATTGAACCCAGTGCCTCACACATGCTAGGCGAGTGCTCTACCACTGAGCCCCAACCCTAGCCCCAACCCTAAAATTTTTAAAGGAAAAAAATGATGGATTAAATTTCACATTTGGGTAAGAAGTTTTTTCTAAGAGAGAACTTGGGTGATTGCTAATGTTGAATGGGGACTTCAGCCCTTTCTTCCTGTGTATAGTAGTATTTTTCAATGTCCAGGTAAAGTCTGCCATTTTTAGCTCTATTTTTGACATTTGGATAAAGTGGATAAAAGCTTTATTCTTTTCAGCTATGAAGAACTATTAAAGGTCTGATATAGTTTCATTCCCCAGAGCAATAATGTTGATTTATTTAAATAGTAAAGATC